ACACTTTGGGATCCCGGCTTCCCCGTTTGATGTTCCCCCGACCCCCGTGGTGTCCTAACGGATCCCTCCCATCGTGCCTATGTCTAGTTTGATGTTCGGGTACCGTTCGTAGGTCGAATGAGTCTTATATACTGCATGCTAGTTGGATTGGTACCCCATTGGCCTAGGTATAAGAAGTATGAACCCCTTAGGGCTATTCTTAGTTGTGGGTAACCACGTATAGGTTCGTTATACGATTTCTCCCCTTTCCCAATGTGTTAATGTGGGTTGTATGTGCTTGCTATGTGTTATGTGTGCATGTTACCCCGATGTGGTTGAGATCAATCGGGCTATACGGGCAGTCGGATGGGCTGAGAACCATACCGGCTGTTAACCAGGCTGGTAGAGACCGGTCAGGTATATAAATATTACATAGGACTGAGGTCCACTATACGGGCAGTTGAATGGGTTGAGAACCATCCCAACTGTTAACCACGCTGGTAGAGACCGGTCAGGTATATAAATATTATATAGGACAGAGGTCCACTATACGGGCAGTTGAATGGGTTGAGAACCATCCCAACTGTTAACCAGGCTGGTAAAGACCGGTCAGGTATATAAATATTATATAGAGCTGCGGTTCATCGGTCGGTTGCGATCGACCCCTCCGTATTGTGAGACGGGGCAGGGTGCTGCGGGGCCGTGTCAGAGCTATATGCGCTGACCCTCATGTATGGGCATGCGATTGGTCCTGTGGCGCCAACAAAGTGTGCTATATGATGAGATAAGAAGGATTGATGTTGTGACTGTTATGGGAACGTGACCATAGGATTCTTGCTAGTAAACTATACATGTTTAATTGTGATTATTGGTTGTGTTTATCTATAACTGTGCCCTATGTCGAGAATCGTATATACTTGGTTATGACTGTAGATTGTGTGTACCCCTATTTGTCGAGTCGGTTCCCTGATTTGAAAGCTAGAGTCTCTTAGGATATATCTTCATGCTTCGAAATGACTTTTCGTATATCTATGTATATACATATATGTATTGTATTTCAACGCGTTGGAGTGGGTTACCAGTATCTCTCGCTGAACAGATATATTTGGCTTTCAGGCACAGAAGAATAAGTCACTGGAGCGCGCTAGATCTTGGAGCGTAGAAGTAGATAGTTTCCTTTTCGGCCTGCGTGCCATGTTATGCATTTACTTTATTAAGGATATTAGTTAGTTGGCCTGTGCACCTGAGTTCTCTAGCTCAGGTGTGGCATAGCACCCCGTACTCTTTATGTTACGTTTTTGGGAATTAATGAGATTTCACCTTTATTTTATAAGTTTTAAATGTCCTGAAAATCTGGGGTGTTACAGTTGGACTTGGCTGTACAGGGGTTTTCTGGAGGTAATGGTTGGCTTTGAAGGTACAAGGTTGGGGGTAGCCATAAGGTTGGAACAGGGCATAAGGAAGGCATATCAACTCGTGATGGGTGATGTCACGAGGGCTTGTGTAGCCGTTGTGGTGAGTTCTCTTCTCTCGTGACGTGTGTAGTCACGGAGGCTTGTGTTGTTTGGCATGTGTTGCCGTTGGGTGAGTCTTTATCCTTTTGTGTGGTTAACCTTTGTGGTTTAGGATGTGTTCCCGGTGTTATCCTTGTGAGTGGTGAGTCTTGTGTTGTCTTTTGATCTTGACTTTTGACTTATATATATGTATTCCGTTTCGAAAATGGTTTTTATATCTTATATCTACCTATTTATGATACTTAACGGTATTGGTGGGTTACCAACATCTTTCGCTGACCGGGCGTCGCCCCGATGTTTATCTTTCTATCTTTCAGGTGAAGCGTAGTCGAGCGCGATGTCTAGAGCCGGTAGCTTAGCACTTGTATCTTTAGACAGTGTTGTTGAGGCCTGTGTGCCAATGTCTTTAGATTGTTCTAGTTTGTTGTTTTTGGGATAGTGATACACTTGCAGATTGTCGCCGTAGCGTATGCCAAGTGTGGTATACGTGGCATAACACCCCTGTTTTGGATTCCTTTTATCCAGTTATCTTTCTATCTTCCGCTGTGCTAGTGTTTTGCTGTTAATCTGCATGTGTTAAGACTTGTTTTTAGGTCTTGTTTTTGGGGGGTGTTACACTTTCTATCAAATTTTTGGAGGGTGTGGTTTCATGCCTTTTAGTGATAAACTTCCTATCAAATTTTAGTGTACATTTCAAAATTTTCATAAATACTCATATACTTTTGACTTTTATCTCTTTATTTTCATACATATGTATAACAAAATCGAAACAGAAAATTATTACTAACAACAATTAAAATTTATTAATGTTTGTTACAAAATTTTTTTTATTGAATTTTTTTTATTGCGAATATCAACAAATTCTTGCTGCTGTTTGTAGAAAAAAAGTTGCCACGGAATAACAACTTACTGTTCGCAGCAACTAAGGCCTGGTTGGTAGAAGCTCTGTTTGGTAATGTTCTCAAAATAAGCTCGTAGCTTAAAATAAGAGCTTATTTTGGTATTCCCATCATAGAAACTGACAACTAATACTACTCCCTAGCAATATTTAATCGACTCACTAGTCACTACTTACCAACCACGTACACAAGACAACTAGTAAAAATTAAAATATAGAAATATTTTTATTGGTTATATCATGAAAATTGATTATCTTTTTTTTTTTATGTATGATACATTCTATTTTTGTGACATCTAATATTTATTATTATTATTATTATTATTATTATTATTATTATTATTATTATTATTATTATTATTATTATCATTAATTTATGAGTAAATACCAGCCAAGGTCCCTCGAATTTGGTGGTTTCACCACCTATAGTCCCTAACTTCCTTAATTACCATCCGTGGTCCTCCGAGTTACGAAATCTGACCAGCTACCATCCTTCCGTTAGTTTCTTCCGTCTAAACCGTCAACAGTGACGATAAATATGTCATTTGCCATATAACACATTCCCAATCACCTCCATAAACCCATAAACACATTCTTTGTCAAATTTTTGTTCTCAATGCACGAAACAACAAATATCCCAAACACATAAATGTATATGGGATTGGGAATTTCTCATATCAAGAAAGCTGTGATATCTCACACAGATATGGTGAAAACTAACAAGAAATTAAGCCAAGTGAAATAGAAACTAAAGAAATTAGCAACCTGGAGGAGGTTTGTTTCCACCCACAAGTAAAAATGGCGAGAAGGGTTCCTAAAGAAATTTCCAACCTGGAGGGTCTGAGCGGTGGCACTATGGCAGCAAGATTCTGTGATACCTTGCTTGGAAGCTGGCCGTAGTGGTCTCCTCCGAGCGTAACCTCATCTTCTCGCAGTGGTCGATCTCTTCGCAATAGAACCACCTCCGAGCTCCTCGCGACGTCGCCGGTGAACTCCACTGTCCACCGCCTCCGAGTTCGTCGCCGGCTGCCTGCTCCGCCGCCTCACTCGCTCACCGACGAACGGTACCCCTTCTCCTTCTATTACGACCTTATTTTTCTGTCTTCAGATCTGAAAGTATAAATTTTGATTTTTGATTTTTGATTTCTGATTGCTTAAGCCTTGAGTGTCGAAGAAGACCAAAAAATTAAATTTTTTTATTGCCTTGAGCCCTTGGACTTGATTTCTGATTTTATGGGTTGATTTGATGATTTCTTGTTTCTACACTTGGCCGGATAATTTGGGCATTTATTCGATTTCCTCTTCGCAGCGCAGTACGCTTCTATTTCTTCCTCTGTTGTGGGCGGTGACACTCTTGGATTCTCACCCGGGAGTTCTTGAGAGCGTGAGAACGGCGGTGAAGAACTTCTGGTCGCCAGAATCGGAGCAGCCCATCGCCGTCGAGCACCTCATCGAAGACTCTGCAAAACCTGACATCGAAGACTACAAATCTACCCAGAATGTCGATCACTTCTTTTAATTTTTTTTTTATAAATTTTTGAATATTTTGTTTTATGGCAAATGACAAATTTCTGTTGTGGGCGATAACACTCTTGGAGTCTCACCTGGGAATTCTGGAGAGGGTGAGAACGGAGGTGAAGAATTTCTGGTCTCTGGAATCAGAGCAGCCTATCACCGCCGAGCACCTCATCGAAGAGACGAAGACTCTGCAAAACCCGACCGTAGAAGACTACAGATCTACCCAGAATGTCGATCACTGCATTGATATTGTTTTTTTAATTTCTGAATGTTCTGTTTTATGACAAAAGACATATTTACCCTCGTTTTTGCAAGCTTAGACGGAAGAAACTAACAGAAGGATGATAGCTGGTTAGATTTCGCAACTCAGAGGAGAATGGTAATTACGAAAGTTAGGGACAATAGATGGTGAAATCACCAAACTCGAGGGACCTTGGCTGGTATTTACTCATTAATTTATTTATGATTTATAAAAATATATTATGTATTATAAACATTATGTATGAAAATTATAAATAATAATAATGTATTAATAGATCGAAGTTATGAAATATTTGTAATGCTATTTTTAATTTAGAGTTTAATTTTTGTAGACTTTTTAATATTAATTTCTTTTTTAAAGTACTAATTTTTATAGATTCATACAAAGTGATAAAAGTTTTAAAAAATTCTATAAAAATCTTGAATGATTTTATTAAAATCTTCAAAGATTTCACAAAAATCATTTAAAATCCATCACGTTTATAAAAGTCTTGAATACAACCCCTTACAGGGTGTTTGGTTGGAGGGATTTTAAATTCCCTTCCCACTTAATTCCCACCTAATTCCAAAGGCCATTAAATTCCGTAGTTTGGTTGGAGGGAATTGCAATTCCCCCATTTTCATGGAATTAAAATCCCATGTCCCCCCCCCCCCCCCCCCCCCCCCCGGGATTTTAATTCCTGGAAAAAAAAAAGTAATGAGTCAAAATTACCCCTTCCTTTTTTAGCCTAAAATTCATGTCTAACAACGATAATGGACATTTTTGACTTTATACTACTTATTCCCTTTCAATTTTAGCTTTTGATTTCGACTGTTCTTTCAATTTAATGGCTCGACGGCGACGACTCAAAACCCTACCGGATGCAAGTTGGGATTTTATAAGTGAGCTGCCTTTAGAGGTAAAGGACAGAATTTTGGAGTGTTTGCCCACCCGAGACGCCGCCAGAATGGCTCTGCTCTCAACCTACTGTAATGATGCTTGGTTGCAGCATGGGCGGCTTGCGTTCGATTCGGACTTCTTGCATAGTGTTGAACACCGCAAATTAAAGATGATGACAGTAGAACCCTCGTGAACATAATCAATAATATCCTCTTTTTCCGTGCTGGGCCTATTAGGAAGTTTACTCTAGAGATAAACACTGCATATGATGCATCGCCGCAGCAATCCGATTTTGATAAGTGGTGTCTTTTTCTTTCAAGAAATGGTGTGGAGGAACTTAACATATCTTTATATAGTTATCTAGAGCCAGATTATCAGCTGCCATTTTGTTTACTCTCTTGCAGGACAATTAAGAAACTGATAGTCGAAGGTCCCTTTATTGATTTGCCTGTAAATGGTTGTGGTATATTTTCCAATGTCACTTCATTAGCTTTCTTCAATGTTTCATTTAAGCGTAGCGTTAATGGAATTGCCTCTAGTATTAGTACTCCTAAGCTTGAGAAGCTGGCTTTCAAGGATTATGGAGGGATCAATAAGTTTGAGATCAACCCTCCAAAGCTTGAAATCTTGTCTGTTATTGGTTCTATATATGATATATATGATTTTGGTGATTCGAGATGGTTGGCACTACATTTGAAAGCCATTAAGACTCTTTGGTTGTGTGGCTCTTCGTTGGAGGTGAGAATATAACTCATTTTACTTGGCAAATGGATGGGTAGATACAATTCTTTATCTTCTGGCTTGTTAAAGTTCTTGTGGTGGCTAATTTTGTTTCTTAATTCCTATTTTTCAAGTGTATGCGTGTATCTATGTTTCCAACTTCAATAAATCTGCGAGTGCTGAAGCTATATGGATTACATTTTGGTTATTGGGATCAGCCACTCGTTTTTATGCAATTGCTTCAAAAATGCCCCAACCTATGTGAACTGCAGATTATGGCGGATGAGGTAGAGTATATATTTGGCAATCATGTATGATTCTTCTTGCTTTGCTTTTTCAAATGTCCTCACAGTTGTGTTTGCTTTTCATTTCTTCTTGGAGTATGACAACGAACTGAACGATGCTGCTTCAAGGTGTTTGAAGGGTCGAAACGGTTGCTTATTTATTCAAGAGCTGCAGATGCTTAACAAAGTTAAGATTGAAGCATTCAGTGATCAATCCGCACTGGAAATGCTTTTTATGAAAACACTGCTCTTAAAATCCCCTGCGTTAGAGAGAGTTGTTATTGTGAAGTCTTGTAGTATAAATGCCTCCGAGGTGAGAAAAATCCAAAGGAAGTTGCAATGCTTCCCTCGTGCATCTCCAAAGGCACAAATTGTATGCGCTGGCAACTACTATGCGGGTATGAATGAGGACTGGATGGATACCCATGGTGTTAGGCTTTTAGAAACTTAGTATGGTGAATCTCCATGGGTTCTATTTGGGTGCAGCTTAGGAATGTAAGCAAATGTTGTGTTGGAAGTTAAAATGTTTTCTAAGTTGTTCACCATGGTCGAGATATTTGTAATCAGCAAGCATTGTGGGCAATTAAGAATAATGTTCCTATATATATTTGCTTTTGTTAATAAATGCTTGTTTTGAAGGCCGGGCTTGAATTTCAGCCTACATTGCATGTTTCCAACACTAAAATTTGAGTGCCTCATTATATGTCTTAGGTTCAGAATTAGAGGAGATGGCAGCGATGAATACTCTGTGGCGGTAAAGAGTGTGAAGAAGACCTACCATGTATCACAGAATCACAATAATAATCTTGTAATCTAACAGGAATATACCTTTGTCCTGTAGATCTTCTAGGCTGAGTATTATGAAATTCATTTTGAGTTTCATCTGGCAAACCACTCTCTATTGCTGAATTTTGAGTTGCAGGCAACGAGATGTCTTGACCAAGTGAAGGTGCTGATAATGGAACACCTAAAGTGGAATGACCATCAGTAGCTATATCACGTTAGCATCATTTGTCTTGAAGGTAACCACTTGTTCATAAAATGTGCAGATAATGGGTGTTTGATACATTAAGTTGCATGTAAAACACAATGACCCCAAATCTGCAAGGGGAGAGCTGCTTGGAATCCCAAAGCTCTAGCTACATTTAACACATGTTGATGCTTTAATTTCTTTATGCAATTGCATTCTGCTGGGGTGTTTGACACATGATTTTTTACGTAAAATATATGACTTTTTCTGCATAAAACTCAGTCATATTAATCTCAATACCATTATCACTTCTTATTAATGATTTTAATTGAATGACAAGAGAAACTTGCCACCATTATCCTACATATTTTAAGATATTGCTACTATTATTGTCTCTCACAAGAGTGTGAAAATGTTGAAGTAGCCACATTGAGGTTCCCAATAGCAATAAATCAACAAGTAATCAAGATTGGTATAATGTTGTGGCTACTTTGTGTTACTTGCAAGCAAAATTAATGAACTTATTCTGAGTTAGTTATGCTTCAACGACGTGATAGCTTATTTATAATTCAAAGGAAAATTTGTCAAAATAATAGTGGAGTGAATAGTACATGCAATTGTGGTTTAAACTTTTTTTTAAGGCTCCATTGAGGCATTCTAAATTGACGAAAAATGTAATTAGTGAGTAGTACAAAAATTCATTTTACTATTAATATAATAGAGGAACGTTTGTTTCAAATATCATAATCAAAATTTAATTTTATTCATAACTTTAATTTATTCCTATTTGCCCAATGAATGCTCCTCCTATTTTCCCCCATGTCACTATAATAAATGCTCCTTCTATTTCTACTCCCGAATAAAGATTTTTAAAAATTAATTAGAATTGAATTTCTTTCCTGGCTCAACTCACTCACCTATTATTTTTACGTTCAATCAAATCTATATACACAGTCATCCATTCTGATCAGTTAAATTATATATATCCAATTACTACAATGTAATAGAGCCAGTAACATTCAAAAAAATATATATATCCAATTACTTGAAACTAGAGTAGAGTATAAAAATATACGACTTATAATGATCTATATATTACTATATTTGTTATTGTACGTTATCTCAAGAGGAATAGCATTCTGTTTCCCTTCGGCTTCCCTAACCCGCAAAGGCCCAAACATCAGAGGTGAGGGTTTCTAATCTGTCACTTTTCCCCCAATCTTTGTTTTCTTCCTAATTTCCTTTTATTTACGAAATCTTGCAGTTGAAAGAATAGAATAGAACGATTTTAGCTTTTGATTTCGACTGAAGCAGCCTCATTATTCTTTCAATTTAATGGCTCGACGTCGGCGACTCAAAACACTACTGGATGCAAGTAGGGATTTAATAAGTGAGCTGCCGATAGAGGTAAAGGATAGAGTTTTGGAGTGTTTGCCCACCCGAGACGCCCGCCAGAACTGCTCTGCTCTCAAGGCACTGGAATGATGTTTGGTTGCAGCATGGGCAACTTGCGTTGGATCGGAAATTCTTCAAAAGTGTCCGAAAGCGCCAAGATGATGAAGGTAGAACCCGCGTGAACATAATCAACAATATCATCTTTCTCCGTACTGGGCCGATTAAGAAATTTACTCTACACATTCCTTGTGCTAATCCTATGCCGCAACAGTCTGATTTTGATAGGTGGTGTCGTTTTCTGTCAAGAAATGGTGTAGAGGAACTTGACTTATTGTTATATAATGATCTAGAGCCAGAATATCAGCTGCCATTTTGTTTACTCTCTTGGCAGGACAATTAAGCAACTCAAAGTCCAAGGTCCCTCTATTGATTTGCCAGTAAATGCTTGTGATATATTTTCCAATGTCACTTCATTAGAGTTTTTTTATGTTGAATTTAAGCGCGGCGTTAATGGAATTGCCTCTAGTATTAGTATTCCTAAGCTTGAGAAGCTGTCTTTCAAGCATTGTGTAGGGATCAATAAGTTTGAGATCAGTCCTCCAAAGCTTGAAATCTTGTGTGTTATTAGTTCTATGCATGGTGTTGTCATTGAGTCGAGATGGTTGGCACCGCATTTGAAACTCATTAAGACTCTTTGGTTGTCTGGCCCTTCGTTGATGGTGAGAACCTAACTCATTTTACTTATGCAAATGGATGGAGGATGGATATAATTCTTTATCTTTTGGCTTTTTAGAGTTTTTATGGTGGTTAATTTTGTTTCTTTATTGCTATTTTCCAAGTGTATGGATGCATCTATGTTTCCAAGTGCAATAAATCTGCAAGTGATGAAGCTATATGGATTAAATTTTGGTTGTCCAAAGCAGCTTGCCGTTGTTATGCAATTGCTTACAAAATGTCCTAACTATGTGAACTGCATATTTTGGAGAGCGAGGTTGAGTATATATATGGCAATCATGTGTGATTATTCTTGTTTTGCTTTTTCAAATGTCCTCACTGTTGTGCTTGTCTTTCATTTCTCTGAGTTATAGTTCGGTCTGAAGGATGACAAAGAAGTTGCTTCAAGGCTTTTGGAGGATCCAAATAGTTGCTTTGTTAGTCATGAGCTGAAGATTCTTAACACAATCAAGATTGAATCGAACTGTGCATCCGCACTCCAAATGCTTTTTATAATAATGTTGCTCTCAAAATCTCCTGCGCTAGAGAGATTTATTCTGAAGTTTTGGGGTATGAATGCCCCCGAGGTGAGAAAAATCCAAAGGAAGTTGGAATGCTTTCCGCGTGCATCTTCAAACGCACATATTGTCTTTCACGGACAATGAGAATGATTCTATGGGTATGGAGTACTGGTAACATTGGTTGTCACAAATTTGGTGAATCTATATGGATTCAATCTTTAGAAATGTAAGCAAAGGTTGTGTTGGAAGTTGAAATGTTTTCTAAGTTGTTCAACACGATCGAGGTATTTGTAATCAGCAAGCATTGTGGGTAAGAATGTTCCTCTATTTGCTTTTGTTAATCAACAAGCATTGTGGAAATTTTTGACTGGACCTTAAACATATTTCTCAAATGCATTTTTGCTTTTGGATTTTTATCCAAAAGCATATTAGCCTTTGGGGTATTTTGTTGAAATACCCACTCATTTATAAAATGAGTTTGTATTATTTTGCCAAATTGAAATGCGTTTGAAATATAAAAATAAAAAAAAATTAAAAAATTAAAAAATAAAAAAACATATTTGTGTTCCTAACCTTCTGTGCTTGCAGAGGAACCGAAGGAGAATGTGTTTCTAGAGAGTTTCGTCGACTCGGGCTCGGAGAGTTGCAAATAAGTTCATAGCATTGAGTTCAAAGTATTGTGTAGTCCATAGATTGTTTGCCATAATTAACATGCAAAACAGAGGCCAATTATTACTAACTAAATCATTTCGTGTAAAGCTAAGTACAATAATATCCACTAATGAAAATGCCTTTCTTTTTATACCCATAGTGTTAGGTTTCAGCTTTTATAATGGTATGGTTCTATTTGGTTGCAGCTTAGAAATGTAAGCAAAGGTTGTGTTGGAAGTTGAAATGTTTTTTATTTGTAATAAGCAAGCATTGTGGGCATTTAAGAATGTTCCTCTATATATATATATATATATATATATTATATATATATATATATATATATATATATATATATATGCTTTTGTTAACAAATGCTTGTCCTGAAGGGCTTGAATTTCAGCCTACATTGCCTCTTTCCAACATTAAAATTTGACTGCCAAATTATGTCTTAGGTTCAGAATTAGAGGAGATGGCTGTGATGTGGCCGTAAAGAGTGTGAAGAAGACCACTCTCTGTTGCTGAATTTTGAGGTGTAAATGAAGGTGCAGATAATGGAACACCTAAAGTGGAATGACCATCAATAGATTATAATCATCTGAAAATGATATCACTCGTAGAGAGGGATTAAACAAAATAAATCATGCATGTGCCTTACTTGCTCATGATTCTTAGCATCATTTGTCTTCAAGGGAATCACTTGTTCATAAAAATGTACATCTCGATCTAGATATGAAAACTGAACCATTTTGTACATCATATAAAATATTTCCTTTTACATTATTAGCAGGATATCCAATGAAAATGCACTTCCTTCCTCTGGATGTCATTTTATGTCTTAACTGTGGCTGTGTGGATGCATAACATAAACAACCAAACACCTTCAAATGAGCATAATCAGTAGGCTTATCATATAACCTCTCAAAAGGAGTTTGCCAGTCGATACCTTGAGAAGTTATTCTATTTATCAAATAAGTTACATGTAAAAGACCCCAAAACTGCAAGGGGAGAGCTGCTTGGAATCACAAAGCTCTAGCTACATTTAACACATGTTGATGCTTTAATTTCTTTATGCAATTGCATTCTGCTTTGGGGTGTTGAAAAATGATTTTAATTCTATTTTTCTTGGTCTTACAGTATTACTTTACCGTCTTACTTAATATAGAGTGTTAGTAATTATTCATAAGTTATTCAACCCTATCATTCTCTTCATATAAAATTAATAATGAAATTAGGAGGCGCAAATGGTATTAAATCTTTTGAAATTAAAGGAATATAATATTTTTTTGAATGA